CTAATGATATCTTCTGTTCTTTAATTGAAATGTGCATTGCTAACAGCGGAGCTATCTCAGCCGACAGGCTGCTTGTTCTAAATATAGTGTGTGAAAGCTAGAATATAATTCAATCTATTTATGTGATTGGGCCTTCTAATCTAAATCTTAGTAGGAAAAACCTGTCTGCATTTGGCAAAACATGAAAATACACAACTTATAAAAAATATCAACAAGTAGTATACACCAAAACAGTCAATGTGTTTAAACTAGCAGTGTTGCTGTTTTGGTGTACAACACATTACAAGATGGTGAACAATAATTGAGATGCAGTTGCAGTTTTACAATTTGATCTGATATATATATATATATACAACTGGCAAAAAATTGTTTTTCTCAGAGTGCTAAATCCAATCTATAGTGATGATCTAGTCAAAGTTAATTGGTAAACATTTCTTAAACATCTCAATGTCAAAAAGCTGTTAGATCTGAATGACTGCATGTGTCATTATACAATCTCTCTTCAAACAGGGATCATGCCGGCGGGAACAAAAAGATGGTTTCCATGGTGACTGGTTTAAAAGTTTATGGAGGAGATGATCGGATTGAAAAAATGACAAATAAAGTGAAGCATGGCGACGAGTTCAAGGTTAGGCAAAGCAAAATAATAAGTTTAGTGTTTCTGATAATCTTATTTACTTTATTTCTTGGTAAATTGTAGTGTATCTTATTTATTATTTATTCAAATGAAAATTAGCAGTGGTCATTGCACTGACGTTGTTATTTATTTATTTTCATTTCCTGTTTTCTATGCAGCAAATGACTAGCACACAATTTTACAAAAGAAATAAGATGTCATTTTTGACATCTGCAGTTATGACTATGCTCAAGCAATTAAATAAAATAAAATAAAATAAGACGCCCTTCCTACCAAGTTTTGTTTTCTAGCCCTTCATTGTAAACACCAACATTTTTTTCATTTCTTCTAAGTTAGGTGACACTTATGGTGGTATAAAATTCTACAGAAACTTTTCTGCTCTAGTAATAAAAATAAAATTCTCAATATTTTGAAATACTTTGGTGATATTTCATCCCCTCACTAAATCTGAAAAATGAACACAAGACTTGATTGTTACCTACAAGCTGGTGCTGTACCATAAAGCTTGTTGTTTGTCTTATCAGTATTTTATGAATTGAACTTTCACTTTATTTGAACTTATACCCTGGTACAAGAAAGCAATATAGACCTTATAATATTATGGAAACTGTCAAGACATTAGTAGTAGAACTCTTAGGTTTTCATTATTTTTTCAGAAGAATATATATTGCTACAGTGTTTTCTCTTTTATAATATTTTAGTACATCGTAGTTTATGATTAAATAAGTAATATTTTAATGGTTCAACAACAAATATGATTTTTGGTTTAAATACACTTCATAGAGCAAATACAGTATATGTGTAAATTAAATCACTTTTTGTTGTTGTTTGATATGTTTTATGTAGATTAGTATGTTTATATCATGAATATTCTCTTTTAGATCGGTGAATTGAATGTAAAATGCCTGTCAACACCATGTCATACATCTGGACATATTTGTTACTATGTGACTGGGAATGGTGGTCAAGATGGAGCTGTATTTTCAGGTAAAATCTTCATCATGTATAACACTTCGAGAACCATTATTTTCCCACCAAATTATTAGTCCTCGTTCGGACGAAGTCCGAAAACGGGGACTTATAATTTGGTGTGCGTCCGTCCGGAGTCATATCTCAGAATCCCTTGGATCGATTCTGTTCATTCTTTGTCTAGTACTTTATGTGGGACATATGCACATGCAGTGGTTTAGTGATTCGATTCAAAATGGCCGACTGGCAGCCATCTTGTTTTTTGAAAATAGTGTATTTTGGACATGCTTTGGCAGTTTTCTTTCAAACTTGGTACATAGATTATACATGTTAGGATACATGTCCATGACGATTTATTTCACAATTGGATCAAAGATGGCCGACTGGCAGCCATCTTGTTTTTTTGGAAATGACGTATTTCGGACATGCTTTGTCAGTTTTCATTCAAATTTAGTACATAGATCATACATGTTAGGATACATGTCCCCGGCCGTATGTGAGTTCTTGAGTCTGTTTGTTCGTCCGTGTGTCCGTCCGTCAGTCTGTCCAGAGTCATATTTCAGAATCCTGTGGGCCGATTCCGTTCATTCTTTGCATGTGCCTAGTACCTTATGTGGGACATATGCACATGCAGTGGTTTAGCGATTCGATTCAAAATGGCCGACTAGCAGCCAATTTGTTTTTTGAAAATGTTGTATTTTGGACATGCTTTGTCAGTTGTCATTCAAACTTGGTGCATAGATTATACATATTAGGATACATGTTCATGATGATTTATTTCGCAATTGGATCAAAGATGGTCAACTGGCAGGCATCTTGTTTTTTTGTTTTTTTTATGCGGTATCTCTTTATGCATGCTCTGTCAGTTTTCATTCAAATTTTGCACATACATGTACTTTATACATGTTAGGATGCATGTCCATGACAATATGTTTCAAAATCTGGTCAAGGATGGCCGATTGACATCTGACTTTTTGGCTTTACTTCCACAATTTATGTACCATTTTCATTCGTATTGGCACATACATCATACATATCAGTGTGTTCATAATCAGATCAAAGATGGACGAATAACGGCTGTTTTTATTTTTGGCCATATTACTACTACACGGAACACGTGTTTTGATGTAAATAAACAATTTGTTGTATATGCCACTTGGAACTCAAGTTTCAAGGACACACTCGCGACAACCCCTCTGCTTTAATATGACGAGCACAAATAGAACTTTCCAAAACTTAACGGGGACTATGTCATTTTCAATGACTTGTTTTTACTGTTTTTATGTATTTTTCTATAATTTCTTTAATAATTTTGGACCAAAGTTTTGATCAAAATTTTAGAATAATTACAAAACAATTATTACAGGTTTAAAATTTTGGAATGGTAATAAAAGTTGGCTTTGGCACTGGTTGGTGAAAACATGATCGTTTATCTTCCACACGGGATGAACTATTCTCAATGTAACATCATGTTGGGAATAGTTCAGTGGACTTATTTACAGAGAGCTATGGCTATGGCAGTCACACTATGACGTGTTTGATATTCGTCTGAAAACAACATTGATGCATGTAAAATACATTTACATGAAATTGAAATATGAGTTTGCATGGGGAAATTAATGTATATAAATGCATGTCCTCATTCAATGATCAAAAATAACACTGAACATTATATATAGCCAAATAAATCACAAATAATGGAATTGCAGAGATAATATAAACCTTCACATCTATTCTAACAATTGGGTTTATGGTATATATTCATCCAATAACAAAGTGAATGGGGAATTCATTTTGTTGTTGCAACCAATTATTCATTGGTTTTTAATTTTGCTTTGTTTACAGTAAAATTTTCCAAATTTAATCTACGTGAACAATAAAAAATAACAATAGAACTCATTGTTTCCCTGCCAACTTTTAACCCTATGAAATTGCTCAAAACATCAAAATAGTGAAAAAATAAATGGTTTTACCGTATATACAGGCAAAACCATTGCAAAAGTTTTAAAGAACTATAACTTGTGCCAACCAGTAGTGACAATTGGTATTCCTTGAATATTAACACATACAATTAATATCTGCTATTTGTGGAAGCTATTTCATCAGGCAATGTGTTAAATTTCTGTCTCATTACCAACATAGTTCTGTTGTATAATTCATCCCTTCATTTTATTGTTTTCTTAGGTGACACATTGTTTCTAGGTGGATGTGGTAAATTTTTCGAGGGCACAGCACAAGAAATGTACAGGGCATTAGTAGAAGTATTGAGCAAGCTTCCTGCAAACACAGTGAGTAATATCTTTTATTTTTCCTTGTATATTTATTGAAATGGATGAAAAACATTGAAAAAGCAAAAAAAAAACAGAGAAAATCAGTATACTTTCTGCAATTGATATAGTTTTCATCGTTAGGAATTTTCCTAATTTGAAGATTTTATAGCATTATTAAAAACAAAATCTTTGGACCCTAGAGAAATTTTCACTGCTACAAAACAGTATTTTTAAAGCAAGACGCCATTTTAATCATATGATATCATAATCAGGTTATAATAGCAGATTATTAAAATGACATGTTCTCATTGGTCGATTGATACCATATGGGTCCACATATCAGGCAATAACTATTCAGTGCTTGAAATCAATGCACTACCACATAATAAACCCAGAACAGATGGGTATTCAATATTTGTCACATCTGGAGACTTTATCTGAACTGCAAAGCTGCGATTTCTTCTCTATAAGGAATTATTATAAAGGTCATTGAACATATTTGCGCATGTTGTTTCCTTGCGTTCATTACAATACATTGCACATCTCCATTCAAGGCCTGTTATTCCTTGGATCTTAGATGGTTTGATTCCTTCATGCAGTGATACATACAAAGTAGGCAGGGTGGGTGGATGTATGGCAATTATTATACTCTGCTTGGATAATAAGGCAAGACTGTTTTTAGGTCCTTGTTGCTCGGACATTTTTAGATGACAATTCAGGAGAGGAGAACAGGCGGTTTCGAGCCTTAGATGTTAGCAAGTAACATGATGCTAATTTAAGTCTTTAATACAAAATGATGATTTCCCTATGTCTACTTCAGGGTTTTGATCCAACTGTTCGCAATACAAAACAAATTTTAATTTTATTTTTGGTCAGTTGAATGCCAGTTAACACGAGAAAAAAAAAATTATTTCATTTTCAAAAATAGATTATCATGTATAGGAGGATCTGAGCATGAAGGTCTATAAAAAGACTGGCCTACAGCACAACATATAAATAGAAGCAACATGCTTATAGGCTGTTATCAGACTACCACCAACTACAAAATGTATGGGAAATTGCTATGGTAACAGTGACAAACTTAAGCTGCATCATAGAGTTGCCATGGAATTTATTGTCATATTACTGGTAATACCAAATTTCGCTTCAGGAGAATCACAACATCCAAATATATTTTGAGTTGAATTCTTTAGACCATGACATATACTTATGTTTAGGCCCTGCATGAAACTCCAGTATCTACTCATCAAAAGGAGCAACATTTTGTGTTGTTAACAGTGTATTGTTAAATCATTTCTTGCTATTTCACTTTCAGAGAGTTTACTGTGGTCATGAGTATAGCGTCAACAATTTAGCATTTGCCCAGCATGTAGAACCAGCTAATAATGCAATTGAAGAGAAGTTTTCCTGGGCCAAAGTGAGTGTAACCTCAGGCAATTTGTCATGATTAAATTTAATTTGTTGACCACTCTATATAGTCCCTGGCCATATTTAACCTTAATGTTTATAACCCAACATACTGTGGAATACTTTATTTTTGCTGGAATAAATTTTCGCTGAAAAGGCTTTTTGGGCGTTTTGTGTGGAACTTATTTTCACTGATTTTTGATGAGTTTAATGTGAAATATAGGAAAAAAAGTATATTCGCTGGATTTTATTTTCACAGAATCATCCCTTCAGCGAAAATAAAGTATTCTACAGTACATTGTAAAACATGTAAAAAATTTAGCTAACCTGTAATTTTGCTAATTCAAGATGTCGCTAATTTAGAATAAAGTATATTATCACAATGAGATTGTTGACACTTTAGATAAATTAAGATTCTGTTAGTTCATGTAATGAGTCAAATTCGTTAAAATGGCATGTAGCTATTTCCATTTGTTTTACAGTATACAATCCATACTGTCTATGGGTCTCGTAGGAGACGTACACAATGTGTGTAAAATACACTGTCTGCTTTAATATGAAATTCAACACGCTGTCTGATGACTGATAAAATTAGACGATAAAATCCATGCTATATAAATGCACATCATTTTATATGTTATTTTATTTGCAGACACGCAGATCCAAGAATGAGCCAACTATCCCATCCACCATTGGTGAAGAACTAACTTACAATCCATTTATGAGAGTAAAGTAAGTCGACTGTAGTATCTTTTAATAACAGCATCTATAATTTCAATTTCTTGATATATCACGAAAACAACCACATGTACTGTCATACCACAATGATAATGTAATACTTATCCATAGTGTATTACAGTACTATATATTAATTAAATGAATAATTAAATTTCTTATTATATTTCAGTGAAGAATCTCTACAGAAACACACCGGACAGAAGGATGGCATAGCCACAATGGCGGAATTACGCAGAGAAAAAGATAGTTTTAAATCAAAAGTATAATATGTGTGCACCTAATAATATAAATTAATAAACGGGAAAACTTACCTTTTAGTTAATTATTAGTTGTAACTTTTATTTTACTTGCTGATACTTTGTGAATATGGAATCCATTAATCATGGGAGGAATGAGAAATAAAATATGATATAATTGTAATAAACGGAATGTTTCTGTCATTAAGAATGTTTATTCTTGCTGCGATAACTCGCATGATCACTGTTTGAAGCAGTGAGAATCAGGTGAAGACTTACTTGCGCAATAAACACAGCTGATTGAAGGAATTATTTTGAAGCAGTGTGGCATTATTCATTCATACATTATTAGAGAAGGACTGCCTCGATAGGTGAGTTCGAAGTTGTCACCTTGATTCCAGGATTAATTGATGGTCCTGTGTGGGATTGCATAAATTAATTGAGATTTCTTCTTTCTGGACGTTTTCTGAAAGTATAGCTGCCTTGTATTGAATTGAAATAAATTTAACATTTGTATTTGTACTCAAATTTTAATTACATTCTCAGAAGATGAAGAAGGCATTTGGAATTTGAAAGGATGTTAAGTCTGTGATTTTACTGTAATGTTTGTTGATGCTTCAAAATTTGGATGGCAGAGAGATGCCTAAAAGCTTGAATAATGATACGTCACTCTTGATAGAACCCGATTCTTGGGGTTACCGGTAGATTTGATGGCTTATATCATGGTACACGTACACTGTAGTTGTATCAATACAGAAACATGTGTGATTGAGTATCCTGCATGAGAAAATAAACAGTGATGTTGACCTAATATAGTCTGATTTAGTCGCAATTTTTCATTTGTTTGTAACGGACGCCTTGCTGGGGGATTGTGATTGGTTGTCTTTAGTGTTACAAAGCTAAAGGTCATACAAATTCAAATCTGTTGTAGGGAGAATGCCAATGGTGTATAACAATGATAACAGTACCCAGCAACATTCCTGGAATGCTGTCTCCTTAAATGTTTTCTTGTTTTTTCGTAATTCTTATGTGAATGCAGGGAAGACTGAACTCCTGATTTGTGGTTCTGGGTAAACAATCAACTCAACCATCTCCCTGGTGTACCGTCACTCATTTGGCAGAATGCACTAGAGTCAATCCAAAAACTCGTCTTTACATATAAATTAAAAACCTAATTTTTTTTCCCATTTGAAATCATTCTTATTCAAATCCAAGCATAGTGATTGGGTTTGATAATAGGATTAGTGGAGCAGATAACACAATAACCTTGTTTGATTGATTGAAGGCAAAATTTTGTATGTTTTTAGATATGGAGCACAATCAACAGCGCTCTCTAGACACCAATGTTGTCAAAGCTTTTTTTTTATTTAACAGTTTGTAAAATTCTGAAATTAAACGCTTTTGGGTTATTCATATTTTGAGTGGCATAATATGCAACAGCGCCACCTGGAGGCCAATTCGAGTAAACTATGCATATTCTTTCAGCACAATATTTTTTTCATCTTCATTGTGTCCATATTTATAAATATCAATGGAATATGATACCAACTAGCCAATCAACAAGTGACGAGCATGTTTATGTCTTTTAATAATATTGTAATGTGATTAAATCGGCCAATATAAACCTTTTGCTTCAGTGTACATTGAATGGTTTTGTTGTGCGGATAGTAACCTGAATGTCGAGTGAATGGTTTTGTTGTGCGGATAGTAACCTGAATGTCGAGTGAATGGTTTTGTTGTGCGGATAGTAACCTGAATGTCGAGTGAATGGTTTTGAGGATAGTAGCAAGAATGACGAGAACAAATTGCATATTATATATAATATATAATAAAAAGATGTCAGATAAAGAAATATTTACTAGTTTAGATTTACAACATTGAATATTTATTCTTGCTAGCATTTCGTGTGAAAACAGGACGATGTGTGGTGAATGCAATAAACAATACAGTGCGATTTTTTTGAACAATATTCAGAATTGTTATTTTAATTCTCAGCCCCAAGTGTACCAAGACACAGAAGACGACGTCGTGCACTCATGCGAAAATCATGTTTTTTTCCCACTAAGTTCATAACTGCGTGCTGGCGCCCTCTGTTTTATTTAACCTGAAAACCATGACTGCTTATTTTGACACTGAATACCGCCAGAGACTGAATTATTTGTCATGCCATTTATTTATATTCTAGTGGAAAATCTCGGTAATTAACCACAGTATGCAGTTTTGTATTTTGTAATTCTGTAATAAATTACCATATACGTGTGCTATACATTAATGGTAGTGTCGTGTATGATAAAATCAACTTTATTACTTTATTACAGCTGAAGAAGATACATTTCTATTTGATCGGAGAATGTGAATAAAGTATTAAAACATAGTCAATGAAGTCTTCAAAAAAAAAGAATCGCTTTACTTATTGTTGTCTCTAACTTATAGAAAATGCTGTTTTGATGAAATGAAAGTTTGTCTACAATTGACATTCGTGCTGTAAATAAGTAAAGTTTGTCTATGTTTTGTAACAATTCAAAATTCTCACAATTTTCTGTAAATATTTTGAGTAAAGCTTCTTTCTTTTTTCTGTGGAAAAAATGCATTGCGACCGGACAATGAATTTGTCGCTTCTCTACTTTTTGTGTTTTATTTATTTGTTTTTTGTGTTTTCTATCATTTTCACTGCAGGATTTTGTTTTGCAAAATTTATTTCTGTGCATTGTTGTATATATTGTTAAGGTCTATGATGTGATATAATTAATGATATTATAATGGTTGGTCACCATGGTCGCTAGACTGGCCACCCAGTTATGGTTAAAAGTTTTATGATAATTGCTTTTATAAACGAAATCTCTGGCCCTGTGAACAGGATTTCGCAACAAGATTCAATAATATAAAACATTTATCATAAAAATAAAATAAAATTGCCACGGCTGGGCCAGTTGCCAGCAAATACTATTAATACTTCTCTTTTGTTATCGGGAGCTATGTTGTCATTATAACGTCACTTCCGGTTGATACACAAAGATTTGCGAACCAAAATGGCGTCTCTCGGCTTGTTGTTGCAGCGAAGCCTTCGCCTGCTTTCAAGAAATTATACAAGGAATGGACCTAAAAGGATAGTGAGTACTGCTGTTTTTGAGGTGTTCGTACAAGCAACCAAACGTTGTTGTCAAATTTTAACTGTGTTAAACTGTTCCTAGGCTACAAAACCGTTTTGTGTAGTGACCTTCCGGCCGGGCCTCTAAGACTGACCTCGATCCGTACATTGAATTTATTTATTTACTTATTGACTCTTACACAATCCCCGGAGGGAAAGAAAATGGTCACAAAGTACAAGGAGAAATATATTTATAAAAAAACAAAACAAAAACACAATATACTAAATAACAAATACAATCACTAAATTACTAAATAATACAAAATCTCTAAAATACAATCTAATAGTAATATAAAATTACAAAATTGACAGCAGGCATTAAGATGTCAAGTAAGACCCTGCTTCCTGACTTCAAAGCTTTTACTTATGAACTGTGCTACTGGTATAATAATGTTTTCATTCTGTAACAATTCCATGAATTTTTTCTCTGCAGGTTCATTTTCAAATGCTGGGATCATATCCTTAGCTTTATTGAACAGTTTGGCACGCAACTCATTATATTTGTTGCATTCCAGCAGAAAATGCATTTCATCCTCAATTAGAATATACACCACCTAACACAGAATATTATATTTGTTGGTAGTGTATGTATGTTTTCCACAGTGATAGGCGATAATAGTGCAATTCATATGTTTGTTTACTTGTACGTTGGAAAATGACGTCATTATTGGGGCGTGTACCACAGGCGCTCGGAACGTTTCTTGGATAATAAAAAATGACCTAAAGTGAGATCGGCATAGTTAGTCAGTCGCCGGTAAATTCCCCTACTACTCATATAATAACACAAGGTAGGAAAGCGAAAACACCATGACATCGAAACTTCCCGAAAATAGCACGATTTTCCAAATTATATTTCGATCCGCTTCACATAACTCAAGCATGATATCGGTAGAAACTATCGATCGACTTGCATTGCATGATAAAATGTATTATTTGCTGTTTTTTTTTTTTTTTTTTTTTTTGGCTGATTTCTAAGTGCGCTGAATTAAACTCATTGAATATTGAAAATTATCAATAGAATGTAAAGTTTCCAGTGAATTTAAAACCTAGTGAATGTCTGTTAAAATTAAACACAGTGAATATTCCTTTTTCTACAGGATTTGTGTAAAGCCACTTTTTCATAACAAATTGCAATACTGGCAGGAAGTGTTGGCTGATATAATTGCAATTATGCAACAAGAACATCCCTCATGAATGTCATTACATACCAGTTCTATATTTATCACTGGAACAATACCTTTGAATAGCTCTCATTTGAATTTTTGAAATCGATTACCATAACACCGATCAGTAACAAAGAGTAGTTCTATGCCTATGTAACAATGTGTAACATCTAATTACCATATTTGAGTTATATTGGTTTAAATAGAATCCATATTAGGAACACAATAACATTTGTTCTTCACAGAGTACGGTAGTACCGTACAATTGTTACCCATAATTACCAGTTGTGATATTTATTTGCAAATATTCTTGAGAAATATTTTTCGGCGTCTTCAAAACATTAAAGTTACTGTAGAATGAGAAATATATTAAATATAATTTAAATTTAGTGTATTAGATGCTACAGGCATACTTTAAATTCATTGGTTTGTGATTGAAACAATACATAATTTTAATTAATTAATTTAGTAAAATAAGAGACAGAAAAGCCAGCTAATAACTAAGCTTCTCCCTATACAGTACATCAACTGATAGACGTACCAGTGGCCTTGTAGTCAAGCACTTGCATGTGTGCATATCAAATGAAACTCAGTTACTAGTAATTCATTTCACTTACATGAAAGATGTATGTATGCATGAGAAGTTTTTCAGTTTCTTGTCTTGAGCACTTTTTCTTCAAAATCTGTGGTTCTATTTTACAAAATCTACAGCAATTAGTCAAAATGAAATAATTTGAAATCGGGGAAATGGAAATATTAACATGAACATTGAAGCAGTGATGAACTGATTCATGGGTATTGATCATTCTTACATGTTGTGGGCTACCCTGTGTTCTGACTTGCATTAGAAAGTCTCATCAGAAGCTTTGCAGTGCTAGAAAG